GGGTCCACCGTGGCGGCTGGGGGCGTCAAGCGGATTCTGCCTGCCTCCAGCCTGCCGGAGAGCTGGCGGACTACAGGCACTGCCACCACCGGCTGCTAATTTTTTTTTTTTTGTATTTTTAGTAGAGATGGTTTTCGCTGTGTTAGCGTAGGAGGGTCTCGGATCTCGCTGACCTCGCGGGCCTGGCTCAAAAGCGCTGGGTCGGATTAAGTGCGGTGAGCCACGCGGCGCGGGCGCGCTCAGCCGGGGATGGTTGGGTTGTGTGTGTTGTTGTATATCTTTAAGAGAAATTCAGGGGAGCTTTGGATAATCCAGTTTAAGCTCTAGGACGCTCACGTAGAAAGGTAATAGATTAGTTATTATTGTAGCAGAATAATTTTGATAGTTTATGTTATAATCTCTCATTGGAAGGAACAGAAGCAAGTACTTAGCTTTCCACAATTAAGCCTTATAATGATGCCATAAGAATAAACTAATCCCCAAAGTCAAGAATTTATCATTTTCAAACACTTTTTAAAAAAGTTGGTGAATAACAAAGAGCTAGGATTAAATAATTTATTAAAAAAACTTTTCTCATAAATCTGTTTCATCAGCATATATGATAATGTCATATGTATTCTTAATTGGAGTAGAAACATTTTTTAAATTACTGTGAAAAACAAGAGTGAGATTCCAGGAACAATTGTGCCCTAAAGAAATCTGGTTTAGGCTGGGCGCTGTGGCTCACGCCTATAATCACAGCACTTTGGGAGGCCGAGGCGGACGGATCACGAGGTCAAGAGATGGAGACCATCCTGGCTAACATGGTTAAACCCCATCTCTACTACAAATACAAAAAAATTAGCCGTGGGTGGTGCCTGCAGTCCCAGCTACTTGGGAGGCTGAGGCAGGAGAATGGCATGAACCCGGGAGGCGGAGCTTGCAGTGAGCCGAGATCATGATGCCATTATATTCCAGCCTAGACTACAGAGTGAGACTTCGTCTCAAGAAAGAAAAAAAAAAAAAACAGAAAGAAAGAAATCTGGTTTAAAAGATAGGCATGTTGATTGAACATTGACCTGAATTGTCAATTGAAACTAAAGCTTTTTCTCATTTCTCCACCTAAATACAGGAAAACAAATATAACGTGTTGAGTTTGTAAGTTCTTCAGATGTCAAAATTGGTCTGGTTGATTAATCAGGTTAAATTATTTAATTCTATTTTCTATTCCTAAATACGATAACTAAATATAAATCACTGCTCAACAATGAATAAAGGTGGAACTCTAATTCTATCCAATTAGTTTTAAAATGTATTATTTTGAGAACCAAGTCTTTCTCCTAGCTAAGTAAATGAAACTTTCAGTACTTTTTGGGTGTTTTTGTTTGTTTGTTTGTTTGTTTGTTTTTTCTGAGACAGGGCTTTACTCCTGTCACTCAGGCTGGAGTGCAGTGGCCATGATCTCAGCTCACTGCAATCTCCGCCTCCCAGGCTCAAAAGATTCTCCTGCCTCAGCCTCTCAAGTAGCTGGGATGACAGGCGCATGACAGGATGCCCAGTTAATTTGTATTTTTGTAGAGATGGGGTCTCCCGATATTGGCCAGGCTGGTGTCAAACTCCTGAGCTCAAGTGATTCGCCTGTCTTGGCCTCCTGAAGTGCTGGGATTACAGGCGTGAGCCACCGCGCCCAGCCAAATGAAACTTTCCTTTAAGGAACAAGTGCATTTTTAATAGATTCTGGAACTCGGCTTGCATAGTAGTCATAATTCCTCAGTGTGGCCAGGACTCCTGCAGAGTTCATATGCTTCACATCCTTGTGGTATTGAAGAACATTCCCATGGATATCAGTTAACTTGCCTATAGAAAAACATCAATCAATTAATCAATCACTCAAGTTAGTGGCTAATTGGATTGTGGTTTTTCTAGTTATTTTTAAGTACCTTTTGCTTGCTTATCCAATAGTAGCCAATAAATTCTGGATAAAAGAATGAGTGTTCATAAAGGTTAAGTTTTAATTCACTTGAAATTTAAGACTACAGAACAATTTTAACTAACTAAAGGATATAAAATTATTTTTTCTCTGATTAAAATTAATTTTATTTAGCATTTTCTTTTCTTGTCTTTTTTTTTTTGAGATGGAGTCTTGCCCAGGCTGGAATGCAGTGGCGTGATCTTAGTTACTACAACCTTGGTTTACTACAAGCCCAGGAGTTCAAGGCTGCAGTGAGCCACGACTGCACCACTGAATTCCAGCCTGGACAACAGAGACCTTGTGTCAAAAAAAAAAAAAAAAGGCTATAAATAAGGGCTAAATTAAATTAATTGTATGCAGATCAAAGTTCAAAAAAGGAGACTATAACTAAAGTAAAACTTGCTGAAAATCTACTCTTTTATCCATCGATCATATGAGGGGTTTGGACTGGATAATCTCTAAGCTTCCTTCTACCTTTTATATCATAACAGTCTAAGTAAAATAATATTACTGAAATATTATGTCATAGCATGATATAATTGTAGAAAAACTATGAATTTCCCAAAATAAAACAGACTAACCTCCCACAGCATGTAAAATAACTTCTGGAGCACAAGTATCCCACTTCTTACAACCAGGACTTGCAAATACATAAGCAGAGGCTTTGCCTTCAATCAGCTGAATAATCTGTAAGGGTAAAAATAAGAATTATCCTTTGATAATTGGAAGAATAATTGAAAGTCATGAAAAGATTGAGGTACAGATAAGAAAAACTGCTTATTTCTATCAAGGATATTTAATCAGTTCCTCTGTTAAACTCAACTTAAAACTTTTAGCAGGTTTAAATTATACCAGTATTATGAAGAAATACATAGAATAAATGCATAATAATATAGTGATATGAAGAAAAAATAATGGTCAAAAAAGCTACAAAGAGGATATCTGAACTGTCTCCACATTCCAAGTTACATAAAATAACACGTTTCTTTTATTGACGTTGTTTTTCTTTTTTAGCGTAAAAGCAATATACATTTACTGCAGAATTAAAGTCTTTTTCAACATCTAAAAAACTGACCATTTATTAGAGGGCTGCACATGGTGGCCCACTCCTGTAATCCCAGCACTTTGGGAGGCCGAGGTGGGCGGATCACCTGAGGTTGGGGGTTAGAGACCAGCCTGACCAACATAGAGAAACCACGTCTCTACTAAAAAAAATACAAAATTAGCCAGGTGTGGTGGCAGGCCCCTGTAATCCCAGCTACTTGGGAGGCTGAGGTGGGAGAATTACTTGAGCCTGAGAGGCGGAGGCTGTGGTGAGCCGAGATCATGCCATTGCACTCCAGCCTGGGCAACAAGAGTGAAACGCTGTCTCAAAAAAAAAAAAAAAAATCAGATTTTAGTTAATCTCTTTAGGATTTGGAGGGTCTGAAAGAAAAAGAGTTAGCTATGTTAACAGAGATTCTTTACAGATGCAGATTTTTCCCCACAAAGAAGAGCTTTGCAGCGCCACAAAATACAAAGTTTTATAGAGTCATCCTAACAATTCCTCTAATACTGATACACAACTGAGATCACTGCTAGAACTTGCGTGACTCTAAATGGTAACTTGCTATCAAGCTTTCATTAGTCAATTGACTTTTTTTGGTTATAGTGTAAATTAATTATTATTATAAAACTCAGACTCCACTAAAAATACAAAAATTAGCCAGGCATGGTGGCCTGTAATCCCAGCTACTTAGAAAGCTGAGGCAGGAGAATCACTTGAACCCGGGGAGGCAGAGGTTGCAGTGAGGTGAAATCACACCATCGTACTCCAGCCTGGGCAACAGAGCAAGACTCAGTCTCGAAAAAACAAACAAACAAACAAACAAAAACTATTCAGAAGATATATAAGTAGGACCAGATTGATACAATGTGAGGCAGGAAGGAGTCTAAGATGACTTTCAGGTGTTTGGCTGGATCAGTTAGAAAAATGGTGGTGCCATTAGCCGGATAGTAAAACAAGGAGAGAAACACATCCAGAGGTGGGTAGAAAGAGGATGAACTCAAATTGGACACGCTGAATTTGAGGTACCTGAGGGATGTCATCATAATGATATCTAGGGGACAATCAGATGACAAGAGATCAGGGCTAGGGATGTAGATCAATTTGTGTCCCATTTCATAATTCTCTCAGCAGGTTGGAAACCTGGATGAAAGAATGGGGGAAACAGACAAGAAGCGGGCAGGCGGGCCCGATCTTAGAGTCTGTAGAAGGTAGAGGAGATAATCTAAGAGGGTCCTTGGCAAAATAAGGTCTTTGGCAAGAAGCATGGAGCCTTACCCTGATGACTTCCATGAACATGGAATTCTCGGCCGGGCGCGGTGGCTCAAGCCTGTAATCCCAGCACTTTGGGAGGCCGAGACGGGCGGATCACGAGGTCAGGAGATCGAGACCATCCTGGCTAACACGGTGAAACCCCATCTCTATTAAAAATACAAAAAAAACACTAGCCGGGCGAGGTGGCGGGCGCCTGTAGTCCCAGCTACTCCGGAGGCTGAGGCAAGAGAATGGCGTGAACCCGGGAGGCGGAGCTTGCAGTGAGCTGAGATCCGGCCACTGCACTCCACCCTGGGCGACAGAGCGAGACTCCGTTTCAAGAAAAAAAAACAAAAAAAAAACAACATTGAATTCTCTCAGATAATAAAACAAACAAAAAAAAAACCTTGACTCTTAAATTTATTTTTAAAATTTAAATACTGCTGAAATGTACAAATTATATTATTTACTCCCAGCTCTTTAAACTCTTATTTCGTGTTTTTAAAAGTTGATGATTCACTTGCATTTCAGAGCAGATGACAGACCTTTTTCATACCTTATTTCCTGCTCCGCCTACTCGCAGCACAGCATCGGGGTTCATAGCAGTAACACAGTCAGTAACCAACTTGTTGCTATGGGATCGAGTAGTTGTGATAATGTGTTTCCCAGCAGGGACTTCTTTCAGCTGAAACCCAAAGGCACCTAAACCTAAAACTCCCCAGATTGTCCTCCCCAACACAGCATCTGGTCCTGCCTGTGTAAACAAGTGAAACAGCAAGACTTGTGATTATTTGGAGAAGAACGTTAGTCCATATATGGAATATTCAGTTATATTAGCATCATGATTAAAAAAATAAAAACATGATAATATTATAAAGCACAAGAATAATATCACTGACGAAGAACTTTTCCTGAGAGAATCTGCTGATTATTATCGTTACTCTTCTGGTTAACAGTTTCAAAGAACTTTTGGTTATTCCCTGGAATCTTTATAAACTGATTTCTATTTATAATGTACTGAAACATCATAAACTGATTACTGTTTTTCTGAATTATCTAATGATCGCTTTGTTGCATTTGAAAATGACCATTTTTATAAAGTACTAAGATCCCCAGGAAATGAAATACCATGTATTGATAACTACTTTTCATTTTCCAAGAAATATTAAAAATCATGTTGCTACAGGAATAGGTAATTATGACAATGTATTTGGCTGTTATGGAGATAGGGTAACTGAATAGGCCAATACAATATTGAAGAGTAGTTGTGGATAATGGGATCAGAGTTAAGATTTTGCTGACAATTGTAGTAGCAAAATGACAATGATAATGCAATCTTAGAATCTGTATTTTCCTTTGCAGAACTCAATTTCAACCACATTGTTATAACTATATACTCGACATAGAAAAAAATCTGTATTTCATGGAAAGTAAAATTGATACATAAAATGATTGATGCAAAGTCATCAAAATACAATTATATTAATATAGTAGGCATATATTATAGAGATATACATATTGTACTGAACACTAAACATGTACCAGGCACCATTCTAAGTGCTTTACATGTATTATCTCTCTTTCAATCCTCAAAGTAACCCCATGAAGTAGGTATTCTCATCCTTAATTTAAAGATGAGAAAAATGAAATGTGGAATCATTAAGTAACCTGACTAGAGGCTCTAAGAAGTTCATAACCAAAGATTGGCTCATCTGTCTTCAAAGATGATATTCTTAAACACTAAATTAGACTGCCTAAGTTTACCTGTCAAAATGTTTTCACACACATCATCTTATTTGTCCTAGAGCAGTACCCTGGGTGTTGTTATTCTGAAATATACTTAGGTTGCAGGTTGGGTTCCCTGGGAAGCAGACTCTGAGGCAGGTGGTATGTTTGTTGGGAAGTGTGCTTGGTATCAACACCTGTGGAAGGAGGAGGAGGGCATGGGCAGAGGGATGAAATAAGCTGTGATGCAGGTACAACAAGAGCTGACCCTACGGGGAGCTGTTCCTATGCAGGGAGTCTGGAGCTACAATAGCGTTTCAGAGTAGTCCCAAATTGGGATGAGATGTCAGGTTTTTAAACTCCTACAATAATCAGTCACTGGAAATGGACTGCATTGGGAAGAGGTGTGGTCCTGGGTGAGACAGCTCTCCATTGGTAGGGCAATCCCACAAGAGTCTGATGGCAAATGGGGCAACAAAGGAGCCAAAGAACAAGCACTGGGTGCTCGGTATATGTTAATGTGCTTCCTCTGTTCCCATCTGAGTTTGCACTACAGGAGAGGTTTGGAGTCTAAGGAAGCTATTTACTTTATTTTTATTTTTATTTTTTTGAGACAGAGTCTCACTGTGTCACCCAGGCTGGAGTTCAGTGGCATGATCTCAGCTCACTGCAAACTCTGCCTCCTGGGTTCAAGCAATTCTCTAGCCTCAGCCTCCTGAGTAGCTGGGATTACAGGTGCGTGCCACCACGTCCGGCTAATTTTTGTATTTTTTTAGTAGAGACGGGGTTTCACCGTATTGGTCAGGCTGGTCTCGAACTTCTGACCTCATGATCCACCTGCCTTGGCCTCCCAAAGTGCTGGGATTACAGGCGTGAGCCACCATGCCTGGCCAAGAGACCTATTTATTAATGCAGCTCTCCAGTTATTCTGGAAAAAAAATAAAGGAAATAAAACAGTGGACACAAATATTTTGGGCCCTACAAGGTCATATTCCTTCTGTAAATGAACATCTAGGCAAAAAGGATGGGATCAAGGACTCTAGTGTTTTGATGTGGTCAACGCAATCCCATGATGCAACCAGCTTACCTTCCTCTGTGCTCCTGACTCTCAGGCTCTCACATTGTCTTTCTCTTTCAAAGGCTCCACACCAATTTTGGGAGGGTAATAAAGGCGAAAATTTTCTGACAATTAAGCTTCAATGGTGAAGAAACTGGCTTTAGTATAAAGATAGACTGAGTTTCTTCATGCTATTTCCTTTAAGTGTCTACCAGTTTCAGTATACGTTGGAAGCAATAATAAAGTTTGAATTTCTAAGTCTTTTCTCTGGCTCAGGAGGGCAATATAAAGTAATACAGTAGCAAGGTTTGGATTTGAGTTTGAATCCCAATTCTGCCATTTACCAACTGGGTGATCACAGGAAAGTTAATTGCCTCAGTTTCCTCTTTAAAATGGAGATAACAGTTTCCTTAAAGGCCTGTGGTGAGTATTCACTGAAAGGATATATTTGAAACCCTTGAACCTGGCAGCATACAGTAAACTCTTAATTTTAGCTATTATGGTGATGATGGATTATTATTTAAAACTGAATCTTTAGCCTGAATACTACCAACACAGCTGAGCAACTTTTCTACTTCCATTTGTGGTAACGAATTTTAAGGCATAAGCAAGAGAAGCAAAAGAAAGGATAAACAGACTGTCCAGAGGGGAAGTGGTACAGAGAGAGGTAATGAAGAGAAGCAGAACAGCAGAAAATGAACTGGTACATGAGATGCACAATGGCCACCTGGGGTACCACAAGTTGCCTACCTCTTTTCTACGTACTAGTTGGAGCCAAAAGCCTAGCTATTTTTTTCACCTTTGCTTCATTCCTGTGTTCCCTTAACTGCTGCTTTTCGTTGTTCTGTGGAAAATGAATACGATTTTTCTAATCTCAGCAAGAAGTGGTGAAAATTGTTAAATCCTAAGCACTTAGATTTTTTCCTGATGAAAGGTACCATGTATTACAATGCTTTATATGAATTAAATGCCCCTTTTGAAAGTAATAGTATTAACTCAAAGTTTACATACAAACCACAAACTTGTGTCTGCATATAACAGTATGAACATTAAAATCATATTTAAAGAATTAATAGACATAGGCGATTTAACCCGAGAAACTTTCTCCATAACATATCACTATTCTGGTAAATCTTAAGAAACACATGATTCTTAATAAAATTTATAATCATACAAACAGCAGGAAAAAATGAATTTATATTAGAAATAAAGATTAACCTTGCTTTTAACGCAGAGTGGAAATTCAGAAGTAATATTGCCCACTCTGATTACTTTGTTTCTCTAAAGTTCTATCAAGGTCACATTAATATAAATACTTTAACTACTTTATCTCCACGATTTCCTATAAAATTTAATGCAATTTAATGGACATTCTTGCTTTGAAATTACACTGGTCTCTTATTTCTATAGAAGACAATTTCTCTGATGTATAACAGAAAATCAAAGCAGATTAGAAGAGACAAGAAAAAAGAGTGCAAGAGCATAATAAGTTCTGTTACCAACACTGACTGCAATTTAGGCATTACACAGCGTTCCCTGGAAAACAACATGCCTAGCATCTTTTCTTGATTGAAATGGTTCATTTCTTGAATATGCTTCAGGAACCAATCATAAATCAGGTGTCTTGATGCCCAAGGTAATCAAGAACCCTATCAGTAATTCTCTGACATTTATATTTGAATCATAAGGCATAAATTTAAAAATATATAATGCATACAGTGTGTCTGTGTACATACACATACATATATATACACACCCAATACCAATGCCCCCAGCGATTTTGATTCAATAGGTCTGGGGTACGGGCTGGGAATCCATATTCTTAAAAGTTCCTCATCAGTTAATAGCACAGCTAAAAAAAAAAATTAAATAAATAAATACAATTTTAAAAATGAAAAGTTCTCCAGATGGTTGCATGTGCAACCAAGCTAAAAACCTCTCACTTAGATAACACAAAGAATCATATAACACTACCATTATTTATCTAACGAAATTACTTTGTATCACTTATAGTAATACCTCATAGTTGTAATATGGCTGGTTAATAACTCCTGCTATGGCTTTTCCTTCATAAGCAATTCCAATAAGAACTGTTACATTGTCAAGAAGACCTGCAAAGAAGAAATAAATATCAGTTATATAACTTGCTCATGTTATGACTCATCATTACTGCATCAATTGCTCCAAGTTAGTTTTGCAGTTAAGGTATGGAATTTGCAATGATTCATCCATGATCAATCCTATTTACAGCAAAATGCATAAATGATAAGCGAGCTGGCTAGAAACAGCAATAGGATCTATGGCCACTTAATTGAATTGGTAATCATGGTCTCATTAGTACAGTGTGTAAACCAACTAAATAAAGCAGCCATAACTCTGCAGCTATCATCATCAGATTATTCTATGCCTCTTCCACCGTCATTCAATTCATCCTTACCTGCTGAATCACTTTATATTCCTGGATTACATCTAGACTTGTATTTCAAGCCTTTAAACCAGAGTTTCTCAAAGGGAGGCCCAAGGACTATCAAGCAGCATTAGAATTAACTGGCATACTTTTTATAACACAGATCTTCTCAGGCTCCTTCCCAGAACTAGTGAATCAAAATCTGGGAGTGGGGAACAAGACCGAAATAAGCTTTCTAGGTGCTTTTATACACATTAAAGTAGTCTAGAGCTTCCTTATTTCACAATGGGTTCTACAGATGTTTTCAGCACACACACAGACATACACATGTACACACACACTGTGATTCACTCATTATAGAGATGTCTCATTCAAGAACAATAAAATAGTTTTTTTCTAGTAATTATGATAAATTTTTAAAGCCATGTCCTGAGAGCCAATACAAGAAAACTTATGTAGATCTTAATTTTATCATCCTCATCATTATTATTTTCTTTTTTTGAAACGGAGTCCTTCTCTGTCACCCAGGCTGGAGTGCAGTGGCGAGATCTCAGCTCACTGCAATCTCTGTCTTCCGAGTTCAAGCAATTCTCCTGCCTCCGCCCCACAAGTAGCTGGGATTACAGACGTGTGCCACCAGGCCCAGCTAATTTTTCTATTTTTAGGAGAGAAGGGGTTTCACCATGTTGGCCAGGCTAGTCTCAAACTTCTGACCTAATTATCTGCCCACCTTGGCCTCCCAAAGTGCTGGGATTACAGGCATGAGCCACTGTGCCTGGCCTAGATCTTAATTTTAAAAATAAAACTCTAAGCTTAAAACCCAAAACTTGCCAGGCACAGTGGCTCACACCTGTAATCCCAGCACTTTGGGAGGCCCAGGCAAGCAGATCACCTGAGGTCGGGAGTTCAAGATCAACCTGACCAATATGGTGAAACCCCATTTCTCCTAAAAATACAAAAATTAGCTGGGCATGGTGGCGGGTGCCTGTAATCACAGCTACTTGGGAGGTGAGGCAGGAGAATAGCTTGAACCTGAGAGGCAGAGGTTGCAGTGAGCTGAGATCGTACCACTACACTCTAGCCTGGGCAACGAGCAAGACTGTCTAAAAAAAAAACAAAAAACCTAAAACTAAAACTCTGGCTCTGAGCCTGTTCATTCCTACATTTATATGGCCAATTTTATTTTAATTTGTTGCTAATTGTTCTTATCTTAGATAAGGAGAAATATTGTACTGTGTTTCAAAACCCACCTTTAGAAGGTGAGGCCGTGAAATGTGAAAGCAGTTCACAGATTAGGGGAGAGTGAATGGGGAGGGCATGGGATGGTGGTGCTGGCAGAGCAAGAGCTACATAGTTGTACTCGTTATCGTTTTTCTACCCCAATAACTGGGGGTTCAGTATAGTCATTTTGGTAACACTGGTTTAATATGTTAGTTATTCTCATCTGGGAGACATTAGAAGTGTGGGGCTGGTAGAGTATGTGGGGGGTGGTATTTGAAGGAGATGAATTTTATTCTCCTGTCTTGACAATCAATGATGTATAAGAACCATGAGCACAAATATAGCTTTAGGGGAAAACGTAACACCTGATACTAGCTTTCCATACAACATACAAAATATCAAATATTTACAACTAACATCATATCCTTGTCCCACTGCTGTCAAATATGAATACAAAAGAGATATCAACCTTCAGTATATTCCTTGGTTCCATCCAGAGGATCCACCCAGACCACGAGCTAAAATTAAAAAGAGAGAAGGAAAATAGCTAAATCAAGCATACAAAATTCTAAAAATAGATTTAAATAGATTAAAACTACCTTTTTTCCCTGTTTGAAATTATATTATGGATGGCCTGAGTTAATGTCATCTGTTTTGAGATAGTACAAAAACCTTATTCTTTTGTAATCATGGAAAAAGTTCATTTGAATAAGAGAAAAGTCTGATTTAAGAATTTTCAGGCCAGGCACGGTGGCTCACACCTGTAATCCCAGTATTTTGGGAGGCCGAGGTGGGTGCACCACCTGAGGTCAGGAGTTCGAGACCAGCCTGGCCAAAGTGGTGAAACCCCACCTCTACTAAAAATAGAAAATTAGCTGGGCGTGGTGGTGGGGGGCTGTAATCCCAGCTACTCAGTAGGGTGAGGCAGGAGAATCACCTGAACTCAGGAGGTGGAGGTTGCAGTGAGCCGACATCGTGCCATTACACTCCAGCCTGGGCAACAAGAGCAAAACTCTGTTTCAAAAAAAAAAAAAAAAAAAAAAAGGATTTTCAACATGAAATGCTTAACTGATAAAAGTTTGTTTCATTTGGACACTAAGCACACTCTCTAGATCATGGTACAGAGAAAACTTGTAAAGTGGCATAAAAAATGTTTTGAACATGCATAGTTGCTACTCATTTTTATATGTAAGTGCTGATTTAAAAAAAAAAAACAACAGTCTGATTATCTCAAGGACACAGTCCACACAATCCAAAGAAAAATGAATAATAAAACTGGCAGCAGATTTAAAAGGAAAATTCCTTCTGTTTAGGACATTTAATATGATTCAGGATACGCTGCCTTTAACCACTACAATGATAACATTATGTGAATTTCTGAGTGAGGGCATGTTTCTGATGGAGGACACCATGTCTCATTTTCTTTGTTTCCTCCATACCACAGAGCAAAGTGTCTTACTCATAGTAAGTCTCCAACGAATATGCATTAAATAATTAAAAATTGGAAAACTAAAGACGTTATGGTGGGTATCTGAAGTCACAGATTTAACTGAAACAACTATGAAAAGCAAGCAGGATGATATTTATGGTCTTTTAAAAATAAAAGGTAGTAATCTGTTTCATAGCCTTCTGTCCCCAGTTACCAATGAATGTTTTACTATCAAATCTACTAAATATCTACTAAATACAAATTAGATTTTCTTCCTAAAAGTATTATTTTTTTTTAATGAGACAGGGTCTCACTCTGCTGTCCAGGCTGAGGGTATGTGTAAAACTGTGCAAGGTAGGAACAAAGTAGGACAACTCACACTTCCCAATTGCAAAACTTAATACAAAGCAAGAAAGTGTGCTACTGGCATAAGGATAGACATATAGACCAACGGAATATAACTGAGAGTCCAGAATGAAACCCATACATCTATTTCTTTTCTTTTTTCTTTTCTTTTTTTTTTGAGACAAAGTTTTGCTCTTGTCGCCCAGGTTGGAGTGCAATGGCACAATCTCGGCTCACTGCAACCTCCGCCTCCCAGGTTCAAGCGATTCTCCTGCCTCAGCCTCCTGAGTAACTGGGATTATAGGCGTGCGCCACCACGCCCAGCTAATTTTGTATTTTTAGTAGAGACGGAGTTTCTCCATGTTGGTCAGGCTGGTCTCAAACTCTCGACCTCAGGTAATCCACCTGCCTCAGCCTCCCAAAGCGTTGGGATTACAGATGTGAGCCACCGCGACTGGCATGAAACCCATACATCTATGGCCTGCTGATTTTTCACAAGTGTGCCAAGGCCATTCAACTGGGAAAAAAATCATCTCTTTAAGAGATGGTGCTGGGGCCAGTCGAGGTGGCTCAAGCCTGTAATCCTAGCACTTTGGGAGGCCAAGGTGGGTGGATCACGAGGTCAAGAGATAGAGACTATCCTGGCCAACATGGTGAAACCCCATCTCTACTAAAAATACAAAAACAATTAGCTGGGTGTGGTAGTGTGAGCCTGTAGTCCCAGCTACTTGGGAGGCTGAGGCAGGAGAATCGCTTGAACCCAGGAGGTGGAGGTTGCAGTGAGCCAAGATTGCAGCCCTGCACTCCAGCCTGGCAACAGAGAGAGACATCATTTCAAAAAAAAAAAAAAAAGAGATGGTGCTGGTTGTAGCCTTAACCTCCATGGGCTCAGGTGATCCTCCCACCTCAACCTCCCAAATAGCTGAGACTACAAGTGTGTGGCACCATACCTAGCTAATTTTTGTATTTTTTGTAGAGACAGAGTTTCACTATGTTGCCCAGTCTGGTCTCGAACTCCTAGACTCAAGCAATCCAACCACCTCGGCCTCCCAAAGTGCTGGGATTACAGGTGTGAACCACCATGCCTGGCCCTAAAAGTATTTTAAATAACGGTTTGAGAGTGGAAAGGAAACCCATAGGATGAGAAACTGAACTCTAAATCCATATGGTTGCCTGATACTTCCATGTTGGCTCTGAAATATATCAAGTTTCTGGTTGCCCCTATTTTATAACTACCGATTTTTCATCTTACAGGCAAATTGTATTTCCTTTACTATGGCAAAAAGACCAGGTTAATAGAGAGTTGAGTATAAATAGGGATCATACATCTTCTTCTTTAATAGAACTGTACTGCGATGGGCATGGTTGCTTCAGTATTTCCTCCCACTGACTGTCTTCGATGAGCTCTTGATCCACTTCCTCAGAAGGCAGATCCTAAAGCAGAGATAACCCTAATGGTTATTGAAGCCATTTAGCGTTTACAGAGTATGCTTTGTCTCATTAACAGAAGAAATGCAGCATCACAGTTTTCGCTAGTTCTTCTGGTTTACCATTTATATTTAGAACTTTTAAAGCAAACCTTAAAAATCTGCAAAAACAACCATATGTGGCTCATCAAAATTGACTAAATGGTTGCAATGTCATTATCTTGAACAGAGTTTAAAAATAAAAGATTCTTTAAGTATTATACACTCATTTAAACAAGTGTCTCTGACAGCAGATAGTTCCCCTATATTACATTAGATGTCAAGTTCCTCACTTTCTTTTATTTTTTTTGAGACGGAGTCTTGCTCTATTGCCCAGGCTGGAGTGCAGGGGCACCATCTCGGCTCACTGCAACCTCCCCCTCCTGGGGTCAAGCAGTTCTCCTTCCTCAGCCTCCTGAGTAGCTGAGATTACAGGTGTTCACCACCACGCCTGGCTAATTTTTGTATTTTTAGTAGAGATGGGATTCAGTTTCACCATGTTGGTCACTCTGGTCTTGAACTCCTGACCTCGTGATCTGCCCGCCTTGGCCTCCCAAAGTGCTGGAATTACAGGCGTGAGCCGCCGCGCCCGGCCTACTTCCCTCACTTTCAAAGTGTTATAGTCTTTGGATAAGTACGCAAATAAGCCTAAGTTTAAAAACAAACAACAACAAAACCCATTTTATTCCAAAGTTCTAGATCTCTGCCCATCTTACAGTTTGTATGCTGGGTATAACAGTAACCATATCTTTTATGGTCAATAATTAAGACATCTGGCTTAGAAATAAACCAAAATGTCTTAAAATCAGATATTTCCCCCAAGTCCAAGGAATACAATAATTATTTTTGTGTTTAAAACAATAAATATAATGCTTGAAATTATAAGAGTGGTACATAAATCATTAAAGCATCAGTTATAAGTACACTTGGTAAACAGGGATTTTAAAAAAATGTCTCTGACGACTCTTACCTCTTCCCCTATAATTGTGAGTTTGGGGAATTTCCGGGCCAATGAAGAACATATGCTCATCTGTGCCAATCGGTCAGCTTTGGTCTGCAGGTCTGTGGCACAGGTCTATAACAAAGAATGCAAAGTTTAGCAGAGCTAACGAGAAATAAGTTGTCCTCTGATTCCCTGTGCATGAGTGCCTACATAATTTAGATTACACTGTCAATTTTTAGAGTCATAGAACTTAACACCAAATGAGTTAACTAGTTTCCTGCCTTGGTTTTTCTCAAAGGATTAATAGTGGTTAAAGTTTGGAAAGGAGCTTTTAAATAATCTAGAACATTTTCTTCTCTAGTTTAGAAATTCCTTATCTCTAGACATCAACCTTTTGCTTAAATAGGTTCAGAGATAGGAAATGTATCACTTTTCAAGGCAAAGGTAATAGTTATTAGAAAAAGTGTTCCTTGGATCCTTCTATAACTTCCACACTAATCCTAATCATAATAATTCAACAGGTCCTCAAGTTGATTCACAGGTATAGAGTAAGAAATCCTATTTGTTTTTGTTTTGTTTTGTTTTGTTTTTGAGACGGAGTCTTGCTCTGTCGCTGGCTGGAGTACAGTGGCGTGATCTTGGCTCACTGCAATCTCTGCCTCCTAGGTTCAAGCAATTCCCCTACCTCCCGAGCAGCTGGGACTGTAGGCTCCTGCCACCATGCCCGGCTAATTTTTTGTATCTTAGTAGAGACAGGGTTTCATCAAGTTGGCCAGGATGGTCTTGATCTCCTGACCTTGTGATCTGCCTGCCTTGACCTCCCAAAATGTTGAGATTACAGGCATGAGTCACTGCACCCAGCCTAAGAAATTCTGTTTCTGAAAATCTGAAAAACACTAATATGAACTGCTGTAATATTTAACATATAGCTCACCTGTGGTACCCTCACTCAATCACTATGTCAGATAATCATGCTAGTGAAAGAGAAAAGTTTTGCAAGTGACAACCACAACCTCCTTTGTTAGTTTGCTTTCAGAGAATTATGATATGTTGCAATTGATATATGCCTGGTTAAGTAGATTTACAGATTATATCATCTTAGTAGAATTTGTTTGTTTGTTTTGAGATGGAGTCTCACTCTGTCGCCCAGGCTGGAGTGCAGTGGCGTGATCTTGGCTCACTGCAAACTTTGTCCCTTGGCTTCAAGCAATTCTCCTGTCTCAGCCTCCCGAGTAGCTGGGACTACAGGTGCCCCCCACCACAGCTGGCTAATTTTTGTATTTTTAGTAGAGACAGGGTTTCACCATATTGGCCAGGCTGGTCTCAAACTTCTGACCTTGTGATCCACCCACCTCGGCCTCCCAAAGTGCTGGGATTACAGGCGTGAGCCACTGCACCCTGCCTCATCTTAGTAGAATTTTAACAATACTTTGCAACGAGATAAAGAGTCATCATGAAAAGCAAACTGCTTTATGCCTCACTGAGATTTGCTATATATCTCAATGCAAAGTACTATTCTGCTAGAATGTAAGCTCCACAAAAGGATTTTATTCCTTAAAGAATTGTGTCTAGCATATAGTAGGTGCTCTATAAGTATCTTTTGAATGAACCTACTCAAAAGAATTGTTCAGTTTGAAGATTAGTTATATATCAATCAAGTTTGTACACCACTGCTTTAGAGAAAAAAAATATATATTGAAAGTCATTCCTCTATCTGACGAAAGCAATTCTCTTTCCCTCTCTAAGATAAATATTTCCTACTCTATCAACATAGCTCTGGACCTCTAAAGTACTAGAAATGCCTGAGCAGTACAGAAGACAATGAGAATATTACTTTTTTCCTGACTTGGCGCTACATCTCTGTTCCTTTTTAGCTACCTGGGTTTCAAAGTTGTTTGTCTAATATAATCTCAACATACGATCAACTGAAAATAAGTGATGTTAAGGAAAAGGATCTGAAAGGAAATAATTCAAAATATTGGCAATGGTGGGATCATGGATGATTTTTGTTTACTTTTTGGCATTTTTCTCCATTTCCTACTTTTCGTAATAGAAAAAACTTTGTAAAAAATGAGATTAGGGGCCAGACGCAGTGGTTCATGCCTGTAATCGCAGCACTTTGGGAGGCCGAGGCAGGCGGATCACAAGGTCAGGAGTTCGAGACCAGCCTGACCAACATGGAGAAATCCTGCCTCTACTAAAAATACAAAATTAACTGGGCGTGGTGGCGCATGCCTGTGAAATCCCAGCTATCCAGGAGGCTGACGCAGGAGAATCGCTTGAACCTGGAAGGCAGAGGTTGCGGTGAGCTGAGATCACGCCATTGCACTCCAGCCTGGGCAACAAGAGTGAAACTCCATCTAAAAAAAAAATAATAATAAAAATAATAATAATAATAAGATTAGCAGCCCCCTGAAAGCAGCAGTATTATTTTGTTGATTATTACCAAGCATGTCTGTGGTCAACTAAAGTGTCTTTTTCAAACAAATTTGAATCAGATTTATCTGACATAACTTGAACATGAATACAGCACTTTATATTATTCCTGTTACAATATCCTGTTGAATTTGGTCCACTTTTCTCAGAGGTTGCAACTATTTTGAATGCTTATTCTGTGATCAAATGTATTAACTAGACTGCTCAGCTTTACCTTATTGGCAAATTTGATAAGCATGTTTTCTATATCATCTTCTTCCACTTCAGATAACACATTAGGTTTTTTTTTAAAACTGTATGTTATTTAATAATTAAAGAGAACAGTACAATGTCAGGAGCAGAGTCCTGTGATCAGCCAGCGGTGATCCTTTTCTAGGATGAAAATGACTCATTAATTTAAATTTGTGGATAATGTTATTCATCCAGTTATGAATACACCTAACCATGGCTAAGGATGGGAGATGTCATCTATATAACTAAAAATAGCTTGAATATTTTCTTAAATAGAAAATGACAGACTATAACAAATGGTTTGCTTAAATCAAGATACCCTCTATCTATTTCCTCTATGAGTAGGCCCATAAATCTAACAAAAAAGCAAATGAGATTTATTTCATTTGTTCTTATGAGTTTTTGTTTTTGTTTGTTTTTAATATTATTTATTTATTTATTTTAGAGACAGGGTTTTACTCTGTTGCCCAGGCTGGAATACAGTTGTGGGATCACAGATCACTGTAGCCTCAAACTCCTGAGCTCAAGCAATAATCCCATTTCAGCTTCCCAAGTAGCTAGGACTATAAGCATGTCCCACCATGCCGGACGGGGTCTTGCTATGTTGCCCAGGCTGATTTTTATGTTTATTTTTTAAAAGCAATTACGTTGAATGTTTTATAATGAACTCATGTCAACTTTTTTCTAAGTTGTTTTTTATTCATATATCTCACTTTTTCTTATGGTAACAGTGCTAGATAGATGTATCACTTATAAGTGAGTGACTTAACTCAATCTATTTTATTATTTTTTATTTATTTTTCCATTTCATCTTTTTTTCTTTTTTTTATTATTATACTTTATGTTCTAGGGTACATGTGCACAATGTGCAGGTTTGTTACATATGTATACATGTGCCATGTTGGTGTGCTGCAC